AAAAAACAAAAAAATTTTTTTTTCCCTTTTAATTTAGAGCTGAAGAAACTGAGCAGGCAAAAACTGGTTTTAAACAGTGTTCAGAAGACTTGTGCTGACTCAGTGAAATAGTGTGACCACATGTCGTAGTTTCCCTGCAGCTCCTCAGACACACACTTCCTCTTTGCTTTGTGAGACTCTGCACGACGTCAGCAGCTCTGGATGTGATTGGTTATCGGCTGTGATGTCACAGAGAAATTTCCAAGGAGGGTGAGTCAGGTGAGATCACACACCTGCTCATTGTCTCATTTCATATCAGCAAGGTGAACACTAAATTTCAAGTGACCAAGTTGTTAAATTCATGTGTTGTCTACACAATATATTTATCAAGATCACACAACAAATTTGTTCTCATGTTCAAATTATATATTCAAAATAAAGTTTTTCTTTTCTTAAATTAAAAATTTGAAAGTGGAAAAACTTTATTATTTTATTTTTAATTCCCTTTTTTGTATTACAGAGATTTATTTTTGGTAGATTAACATGCAATAAAAAGGTGTAGCCTCTATTTATTTAATGACATATTTATCATAATATTTAAATCCTAATTATTTTTTTTGATCAAAGTATTTTTTATTATTTTTTAACATAATACAAAACAAAAACAAACAACAAACTAACAAAAACAAACACCCGAAATCCCACCCCTTCCTATACCGGATCTAATGAAACAACAAAAATCGATCTTGTATTAATACAAGTGATATAATAAAAAATTTTGTGTACAATGAAACAATATTTATCCTTTACACAAAGTTATCTGCCAAATTTTATTTAAATCCTAATTATTTTAGAAGTTCTCAAACAACAATATCTTTTTTACTGAACATGAGTCAGAGAACAGGTCCTTCAGTGTTTTATATCATTGTTGGGACAGACTTTGGTTCCTGAGCAACAAATAAAAGAAAATTCAGTCAGGGTTTTGTTTTTTTAAATAGACTACACCTCCTGGCTTTTTTCCAGGTGAGTGTCTGAGAATCACAAGTCAGACGATGTTACCTGTGAGTAAAGCAGAGTTCACCTCCATGAGTTCAGACATGTTTGAAAGAAAAATAACTGAAGCTGCAACAAGAGTTAAACTAAACACTGACTTTTTTTGGTGCCTTAAATTAACATGATACTGTACAAGTTGAAATACAGAGTTGGGTAGTAACTACATTTACTTGAGTAACTTTTTGGGGAAAATGTACTTTTATGAGTAGTTTTTAGCCTATTATGCTGTAATTTTTTACTTTTACTTGAGTAATTTTAGAATGAAGTACCGCTATATTTGATTAAAATTTTTGGATACTTTGTGAGTAACTTCAGTGAATAAAATGCAAGCTTGTTTTCACAAAATATTCACCACACACACACACACACACACACACACACACACACACACACACACACACACACATCCTTGTATTTGCATGAAACTGAGGACTTTGTATTGACTTTACATTCATTTTTGTAACTGATGTCCAGCCCAGACATTTTCCTTAAATTAACCATTACTGGTCTAAAGTTAACACTAACCTGAACCAAAACATAATTCATACTAAACCTCTAAACCTAACTAGTAGTGTGTAGTAGAGCTGCAAATGAAGTGAGGACCGGGAAAATGCCCTCACTTTCCAATTCTCACTCTGTAGCAGAAACACACACACACACACACACAAAGGTAAAGAGAGACAATCCTCATGACTGCTGAACCTACTTGGTGACTCAGATGTGTTTACAGCCTGTTGGTGAGACAGGAACAGAACAATCTGACTCGTCTGTTATCAGTTCTACAGTTTTTACAGACAGACTGTTCAGAAATAACAGGCAGCACACAGATCAGGACAGGAGAGAAACGAAACAGTGGAGAACCTCAAGCACACACCAAGAAATGGCCATGAAGTCGTTTATGTTTTCTTAAAATAGTTATAACTATGCCCTGCTGCCATAAGTCAGGTTAACATGCAACTGCACAAGGTTGTCTGTTAGCAAAATATCTCATAAACCATTCAATGAATTTTGCTGAAATCAAGAAACGATCTGTAAATCTAACACGGATTACCTTACAAAGCTCCATCATATATTAAACATCTTATTGTTCCATACTTTCCTAACAGAGCACTTCACTCTCAGACTGCAGGTTTACTTGTGGTTCCTGGAGTTTCTAAAAGTAGAATGGGAGGCAGAGCTTTCATTTCTCAAGCTCCTCTCTTGTGGAACCAACTTCCAGTTTCTGTCTGTGAGGCTGACACTCTGTTTACTTTTAAGATTAGACTGAAGACTTTCCTTTTTGATAAATCCTATAATAAGACTTAGGTTTCCTGAATTATTCTTCATTTCTGCTGCTATAGACTTAGACTGCTGGAGCACAAACTGAGCACATTTCCTCACTCTGCTGTTGTCTTTAGTCTCTCTTCTCTACATGTTNCACACACACACACACACACACACACACCTACAGTTTTTGCTAGTTTCATATATTTTATATTGAAAGAAACTGATTTGGAAACATTTCTTTTGCTTGATTTTTTTTTATTTTGGAATTGTGTATGATTTTTTTTTTTCATTTTGATCTTTAAAGTACCAAAATTTCCACATAACTTTAAATTATTGATGTCTTGATCAGTTACTCAGTACTTGAGCAGTCTTTTTACCAAATACTTTTTTACTACTTCTTGGATGGTTATTTTTTTTTACTTTTACTTGAGTAAAAATATGTTGAAGTAGTGCTACTTTTACCTGAGTACAATTTTTGGGTACTCTACCCACCTCAGCTGAAATAACACATTTCAAAGCTGGTCGTTGGTTTTATTCAGCAAGTTTTATTTATAAAACATATAAGCAACCTAGAACTGAAGTGTTATAGCCTGTTACAGTCAGTAAAACACAGTAGCAGTCATAATACGTGACAAAAGCCCAAAAAGGAAAATATAACAGCTACATAAAAAAAAAACAATTAAAGTAAGCTCAAATTAAAGCTTCTTGTTTTATGTAAACAGAGAAATAATATGAAAGGAGAAAAATTATATGTTTCAAAGAAACATTTGGAGTAGGAGATGGGATCTTAAAGGGATCCACGATACATTTACTATCTGTTGTTTCAACTACCTTTAAAATGTTTAATTTTTTAATGCAGCTATTAAAACAAGACAGACCTTATATATTATATGCCTTCTTCGTCTGTATGGTCATTATCTAGAAAACAAAAATAAATAACTAAACTCAGAGTGATGTAATTTATCTCTTTAGTTGCTTTACATCCTCACTGTTAAAACCTTCGTGACCGCTTACAGCTCTGCAACCTGCGGGAGCGTTGCGTGATGCACAAACCCGGAACTTTCCAGACTGATCAGGATTGGCCCCGCCCACTCGGCTCTCAGCTGATGCAAGCGGAGGAGGGGCGGAGCTTGAGGTATAAAAGCTCCTCGCTGGGAGCCGCTCCGCCGCTCAGCACATTCATGGAGAAAACGTTGAACAAACACCCGGAGGAGACGTCGGAGCTTTACAGCGAGGATTCAGGATGGTCTATACCGCAGCTCTGCCCTTTGGACACGGAGTCTCTGTGCTGTCGGAGGAGGAGAGCGTCGTGGAGATGATCGGCAGGTTCTTGTTCCAGCACAAACCCCGGGAGATGAGCTCTGCCCGGCGGGGAAGCGTCGACAGCTACGATGAGACTGAGAACTCACCCTGTAAGTTAAAGTTATTTAATTTTTGTACATTTTTACTGTTAACTGAGCTGGATGGTATTAAATCTGAAAACATTTACTGTTTAAAATACATTAATAAAGCATTTAAAAGCTGTCTGGTGTTAGTACAACTTCATTAAACTCAGTCTGATGCAAATGACTCGGTGAGTCTCCTGTCAGCTGATGGCAGTGACGTCACGGGATGAACCTGACACTCCCTTTCTAACCTGGTCTCCTCCCTCAGGTCCTGACTGGGACTCCCATCTGGAGGAGGAACAGCAGCTCCTCCACCAGGCACTGACCCAGCAGATGGAGCGCTGTCTGACAGAAGCCAAGACCTCCAGCCTGCACTGCCAGCTGCTGCTGCTGCCCCGACACATGATCACCAGGATCGGCCACCACATCCTGCGCTCTGCCGCCCAGGAGCCCTGTGGGCTCCGGGGGGCCTCCATCAAGCTCTACGTGGATGGCAAAGATGGCCTGAAGTCTGCAGGGAGCATCCTCCCTGACCCCAGTGTCACTCCGACCTTTGAACTCTCGGTGGTCTTCAAAGTGGATAATGAGGGCTGGCTGCCTCTGAGGCACATCTTCGACACCAGCAAGGCTCTGAAGCTGAGAGCTGAGTGCCGCCTGGTGAAGAGGAAGCTCTACTCCTCAGCCAGTCCTGTTGTCCACGATTACAGCTGAAGAGACATTTCATTTAGTTTCAACCAACTTAACAGGAACATGCAGCTGTTATAACTCTTGTTTGCATTTTATTGTTTTACTTTATGGATGAATGTAACTTTTGAGCAGGTTCTCAAATTGTATTACCGTTAGAAATGAAATGCTCTGTTTTTTTATTTTATTTCACAAAACACTGGTTATGATTTCAATCCACAGAGCTGGTCTCATTTCTGAAGTGTAATGTATTTTATTTATTAAATTATTTATACTTCACCTTCAACTGTCTGTGTAACTGCCAGTAAATTATTTAAAAGCAATTTGCATTGCTACAGTCTGTATCACTGTCTCTGTAAAACTCCAGGTGTTGGTGCAGTGTAGCAACAGCTGTGTCAAATTGCATCACTATATTGTAGGGACTTTGATGAAATGTTCAAACTTATAAAGTTTTTTTTCTTAAACTGACCATAAGGATTTAGAGGTCAAAGGTTGGAAACAAGTCTTGCATTACTTCCTTATTATAAACAGATTACAGACTGCATCACAATTTTGCAACACATTTTCAAACCAAAGACTACGTAAAACCTAGATTTTGAAATGATGTGGGGGGTCTAAGGTCTGACAATGCTTTTAATTTAGTGCCTATTTGAGCCATTACTGTGTGACACTTTACAAATTATGTGCATACAAATGACTAAAATGCAAAAAGTGTAGCTAAAAACATTTTGAAGGAATTTATTAGGTTAGGTACTGATGCTAAAAGCACTACACCATTTTCTTAGTTTTCCTTTAAGCATTAACTTTTATGATCCATTGTTTAACTCAGGGGTGGGCAATCCTGGTCCTCGAGGGCCGCAGCCCTGCATGTTTTTTTTTTTTTCTCTGCTCAAACACACCTGATTTGAATGAATGGGTTATCAGGCTTCTGCTGTACGGAGGACCGAAACTGACATAATTAAAAATAAAAGCGGAAATATATAAATTGACTAAAATACTTAAAGTGCACCAATATAATTCAAAAACGAGAATTTTATTTAAAGTATATGTACAAATATATATACATATACATATATACAGAGACAGCAAAATAAATACAATTAAAAATGTGCCATTTAAATTAAAGGAGAGCTTTACCTCTTGAAAAACAATAAACATTAAAAATAGTTTAGTATTTTACTGTTTTTACTGTTTAATATATAACTAAATATACTATATAATATATAATTTTATTATTGCACATAATTTACATTTTACTTTTTTGCAAAAATGATAAGTTGGAAGAATAAATATGAAGGTCAATTAAATTATAAAACATGAGATAAAGCTCTCCTTTTTAATTTAATTGGCACATGTTTAATTTAATTTATTTATTGGTCCATTAATATATTTCTGCATTTTTTTCTATTATGTCAGTGTCGGTCCTCCATACTGCAGAACTTGGTAATTCAATGTCTGAATCAGGTGTGTAGGAGCAGGGAAAATCATAAAACCTGTAGGGCTGTGGCCCTCGAGGACCAGGATTGCCCACCCCTGGTTTAACTATTATGTCTTGATAAGAATAGTTTAGATACATGTCCGACATTTATCCAACACATAAAATGAACCGCTGATCAAACATTAGGTGAGCATTTTTGTCTGAATGCCTGCGATGCAGCCGTAGGCCTGCAGGGGGTGCACCAGGCACTGAAGACTTTATAAGGACCGGAAGTCCGGGTTGTAGCCAGGCAGCGTTACTCCGATTTGCTTCAGCTCAAGCAATAAAGCTCTGCTCATACCAGATGTGGGTTGTATGGTCCATATACTTGTCACGTTTTAATCTATTCAGTATTATGTGGTTTTGTCACGATTTCAATTAATGAACGCGAGATATTTATTATAGTTTGGTTTGGAATAAACATTTACTAAATGTTCACATTAAAAGTAACTTTGAAACATAAAAATTTACAAGCTAAAAAAGTAAATTGGAACGCTCTAAACTTTAAGATTTATTAATGCTTCAATGTACAGATGAGTCAGACACCGGACACCTTTTTTTTCCTCTTCCAAACTAACAAATTAACAAATGTTTAGTGGTCGAATGGATACAAAGTTCTGAACATTTGACTCGTAAAGCCTTGAATTTTCAATATACCGTGTATTTGGAGAGTGTAACGAACGAATAAAAACTGAGTTGGTCAGAACAGAAAGTTTCTCTTCTACACTTCGCCACCCTCGTTCATGACCTGCATCACTTGCTGGGGTATTGAGATAATTTTCCTTTTGTTTCTGAAAAACTGTTCTGTATCTTGACTCATTCTGTACATTAGTTTTACACAGTCTCCATAAATACCAGTTTTAAAAGTAATTTAAATCTCTGGATCTGACTCTAAGGGTTATTAGTTTACTCTGTTCAGTAACTCAGATTCAGACAGGAAATAACGTTTAATTTCAACAAGTTGAGTAATGATTGAATGTAGCTGGGACAGGAAACCCAGTAATCCCAGTTAGAAAAAATAATCCACACCAAGTTTCTGTCAACACAAACCTTTCATTAGACAAACTCTGATCTGTTCAACATTTAGATCAAACGTTTTATTTAACAAATGTACACCAAAAACATGATACACGGACCAGCTACCCTAAACACAGGATCCTCCTCAGGTACAAAACCTTGTACTTCCAGCTAACACACAACATCAACAGGTTTAATTCATTTACAGAATGCACACACACACACACACACACACACACACACACACACACACACACACACACACACACAC